ATGTTCAATGTGTTGTTATTGTTCTGATATGACTGTCATCCGATGAATGATGTGTAAACGTTTGGGTTTTAGTCATGAAAATGTTCATCTTCATTTACGACGGGTTAGCAGTCTCAACACGGGTTGTGTCTCAAACGATCTTTGTTAATCTAGATGGTTTTAGGTTCACCGACGTTCCTTGGGTCAATTTCGTGTTGTACATCTCTGACTGATGCCATTTTGCAATGTTTGTCGCCTCCAAGTGTGTACATTGGAAGCAAAGATTCATCAGATGGTGGATGACTTCGTCTCATGAAGCATGTAGTAGTTGTAGACATATGTCTCGCCTATGCACAGCCAAGGATGCAGCAGCAAAAAAATGAATAATCACGGTTAGCGTTCTCATCTCCGTAGGAGTCCTGTTGCCTCCCCGTCGCACCTGTTGGACCTGTGTGTCTTTTCTGACCGCATCTTCTACTTGCCATGTCGAACAAGCAGTTGCCTACAACCATCGACCCAAGGAAATGGCGCGCTGGATCTTGGAGCATCGACGTGTATCTCAGGCATGCTCGCACCCTTGAGTCGGCGCAGAAATGCCTTGATAGAACCCGTCGGCCGCCAGAGGAAGCGATAAGCCTTCTGCAAGACCTGGCAGAAAGTCCTGCCATGTGGCTCGCTCTTCGAAGGCATCTCACCGTTGCTGATGCCGTTACCATCTTGAAAATCTTGCACGACCACAGTGAGTGGCCGCAGGTGAGGCGCACGGAGGATGAATTGCTTCGCCGTGAATACTTGAAGCTTTTCGACGAGTGTTGCTATTTCGACCCTGATTGGATTCATCCTGAAATGCGACAGCGGCAAGCTGCCCGGGCGAATGCTGCTGGGTGGCGCGCCAACCCAGCTGATGCCTCGCAGATGCCGGATGTGCCTGCGTGGCGGAGATGGCAGTGACCTCGCGTGTGGCTTTTCTGCCCGCGGCGTTACCGTCGGGAAGAGCGGGACACATGCAGAGATGCGCACCGCGGCACTGCTGACGGCACGCAGCGCTTCTGACCGCAGCGGCCCCGACACATGCCAGCGTGTATGTCTTTTCTGACTGCACGATGATGCACTCGAGCATTTGTGCTTCATTGCCAGCCCTGTCGAAGATTCTTGTCCGTTGCTGCTTGGAAAAAAACACACTGCGGCGACACCGCGAGGGAGACGCGTCAGAGGGATGTGCTAGATTTCGTCATGTGTTTGTAGTCTGCCGTGTTAACACTGTAGGAGCTGTTGAAGTTTCAATTTCGGAATATGAGGATCGTATCAGTACACGGTAGATGGATGGATTCGGATGGATGGATGGATGGGTGGATGGATGGATGGATAGATAGATAGATAGATAGATAGAGAGGCAGGCACGCAGATAGACACCACTGCACTACATTACACTACCTTCCATTGCACTTCACTACATTACACTACACTACACTCCACTACACTACGATTACAACTGCAACTGCGCAACTACACTCCACTACACTACACTACACTACACTGCACTCAATTACACTCAATTACACTACATTACATTACATTACACTACACTCCACTACACTACACTACCTTACACTACACTACTCCCACTACACTTCACTACATGACACTACACGACACTCCGCAACACTACAACTACACCTACACAACTACACTCCACTACACTCCACTACACTCCACTACACTACATCCCACTACACTACACTACACTACAACTCCCCAACTACATTCCACCACACTCCACTGCACTAAATTACACTACACTACACTGCATGACACTACACTACACTCCACTACACTACATTACACTACACTAGTACACTACACTACCTTCCACTACACTTCGCTACATTACACTGCACTACACTCAACTACACTACAACTACAACTACAACTACACTCCACTAAACTCCACTACACTAATTTAAAACTAAGATTAAAATTACACTGCACTACACTACACTACATTACACTGCACTACATTACATTCCACTACAATCCACTACACTACACTACAGTACACTACACTGCATTAGACTGGATGACACTGCACCATAGATAGACAGGTAGACAGATAGACAGATAGACAGATGAAAGAGAGAGAAAGAGAGATAGATAGATAGATCGATAGCTGGATAGATACATAGAAAATAGATAGGTAGGTAGGTAGATAGGCAGAGAAAGAGAGAGAAAGAGTGAGAGAGATCAAGCACCTTTCAATCCATCAGTGGCTTCGCTCTGTCATCCTTGATTCACAACAACCAACCTTTCCTATAGGTTTCCTATTTTTGAAACTTCCGCCACCGCCTTGTGCGGTACTACTGGTAACATCTCTGATGAACGTGTCTCTTGTACTGCGCCTGCCACGCGACATGCATCTTTGCAGATCTTCTTCAACTGACCCACCCCTGCCAATGTTTTTGAAACTGCTACAAATCCCTCACGTTTTGCTCACTTTTGGGAAGGTGCAGAATCCCTTGCGCCT